TGTTCAAAAGAGAATTTCTTCCTTTTTTAAACTTCCTCTTCTTTCCATATTTTCAAGAGAGATTTTCTTCCTTTTTTAAGCTCCCTCTTCTTTCCATACTTTCAAGAGAGATTTTCTTCTTTTTTCTAAGCTCCCTCTTCTTTCCATACTTTCAAGAGAGATTTTCTTCCTTTTTTAAACTCTCTCTTTCATTGTTTCCTTCCCCAAATTCATCTATAATTCCGGATTTTCTTGCACTCCTCTTGGCCGAAATTATCTTCTCCCCCAAGTTAGAGTTTCATCATCTTCAACCTCAAGGAAAGCTTCTTGATTTGGTAAGTTCCCCTTCCCCACTCTCTTCCTTTTTTTTTATTAAGAAAGATTGTAACTTTATGCTTGTAATGGGGATGCAACATGAACCCACATGTCAAGATCACAACTTTTTATTCTAAGGATGATGGGTTGTGAGTATGAACCAAAATTTGGGGGTTTTATGCAACACATGCAATTTGACCGAATTTTCGGGGGGATTTTATGCAAAAGTGGACTGAAATTGGTAGGGGCTTTTATGCAAAAGTGGACTGGAGTACTAGATGATCAAATATGATGACCATGGCCCCAAATCAAACGTGTCCTTGACCTGAATTTAGCCTTGAGCACGGGGGGTATTTTGGGTATTTCACCAAAATTCACTGCAAAATGACAATCATTGTTTAGCATGCACGAAATTTGTAGGTTTAATTAGACTTCAACTATAAAATCCTATTTATTCATAGGACTTTAGTTCAAGTTCTTAATTTCCCTTTTATATTTCGTGTATTACTATTTGACTTGCTTAGAGGAACTCATGTATCGTTTGGAAGAGCTAGTACACTTCGACTCACATGATGAGGTCACACCGCTCATGATCGATGCTCAGATTCAGAGGATGCACGAGCGTAAGGCCCGCGTGAGACGCATATCAGAGCAAGAAATCATCGTTGCGAACTTGTACGAACGGCAACGTCGTCTACGGAGTAAGATAGATGCTTATAACAGCATTGCTGAGAGGATAGGGATTAGGACCGTCCAAGGGGAGAGGACTCTAAAAGATTTTGAGCTCGAGAGCACTAGAGTTCAAAATGTTTATAGAGGAGAGCTGGAGATTCTTCACACGTTGCGCCGAGAAGACGTAACCGCCGATGCTGCCTCCATTCTTGCTTATACCAAGCTTCAGAAGGAAGAAGAGGAGAGGGTTCGAGTGGAACATGTCGAGCAACTTGCCGCTGTTGGGGCTACGATTGCTTCCTTCAGTTTGTTAGATCTGATTTGAAACGTCTCTTTGTATCTGCACTTGGTTTGACTTTATTTGCTGAATGTTTTGACCTTTGATCTTTTTAGTGGAACTAATTTTTGTCTTTTTATCTTTATTATGATTCCTCATTCCATTTGAAATGATTGACCACAATACTCATAGG